CGGGGGCCGGGGCCGTGCCCGGGCCGCCTGCGGTTCTGCGGGAGGCGGTGGAGGCCGTGGTGCGGAGCTTCGCCAAACACACCCAGGGCTACGGCCGCGGTGAGCGGAACCAGGGGGGAACGAGGGATGCCGACGGACCGGGGGAGGTCAATTTTCCCTTATTCACTTTTCTCACTTTTCCTTATTTCCGTGTTCCTTTTGCTTATTTCCATGCCCCACTTCCTTCCTTCTTCATGCCCTTCGCCCTCTCCCCTTGCGCCTTTTCCTTCTTTCCGTGCCCCACTGCCACCCTGCCATGCCAATCCTGGGGGCTTTTCCCGCCGGTTCTCCCGGCTGTGTCCGGCAGTGAACGTGGTGGAGGCGCTGCAGGAATTCTGGCAGATGAAGCAGTCGCGCGGGGCCGAGCTGCGCAACGGCGCCCTGGTACTCTACGAGATGGTCCCGGCCGCCAGCCCCCCCTACGTCTGCTATGTCACCCTGCCCGGCGGCAGCTGCTTCGGCAGCTTCCAGGTACCATCCCGATCCCGGGAATACTTCGCCCGGACCCCACGGGAATCGTTTCCCAAGTATCTCCTCCTTGTGCGGGCATTCTCCTGCCGATTCCAGCCCCTGCGTCTGGCTCTAAACATCTTTAGTTCCAAAGAAATTTAATTGCAAGTTGCTCCTGGCCTGTAAATCCCCACCAGATCCCAATCTGGGAAGATTTGTCTGTGGATTGTGCTTTTTTTTGTGTCCTTTATTCCCTATTCTGGTCACTTGCACCTTAGTGCTGAGGTAGGAGATGGGATATCAGGGAAGACTGTTGGATTGGCTGGATCTGATCTTCCTTCTCCCAAGATTTGATCCTTCCTTTTCCTTCCCAGAATTAGGCAGAGGTTTAAACTGGCAGAGGAATATTCCTCTGCTGGGGCTCAGGATTCATCCCAAAACCTCTTCTCCGGATGCCGAAAGACTCTGGAAATCAAATCAGAGCGTTGGGTCACGGGGTCCTGGAATAGCTTGGGTTGGAGAGGACCTTAAACACCATCCAATTCCAACCCTGTGCTGTGGGCCGGGAACATCCCACTGGAGGAATCCATTCCTTCACCCCTCCTGGGAAAATTCCCAACCCAAAGAGATTTAAGTCCCAATGTCCCATCAAATCCTGCCTGTGTTCCACATTCCTTCCTGCCCTTTCTCATGGTTGGGAACATGGATCCAAAGGAAACAATTGCAGCAGCCACAGGGTCATCCCATCCCAAAATCCTGGTCTTTGGGGGAATTCCGGAGCAGTTTGGGTTTGAGGTAATTAATTAATTGACAATGCAATGGGAGTTTCTGAACCTCTTTTGATTCTGGGAGCATGATTTCCTAATTCCACCCCTGCTCAGTTCCCATTCCTGGTGGTCCAGGGGGTGTCGCTATCCTGGGAATGTCCTGACTGTGGCTATGTGTCCCCAGTTCTGTCCCACTAAGGCTGAGGCACGCCGGAGCGCAGCCAAGATTGCGCTGATGAATTCCGTGTTCAACGAGCACCCTTCCCGCCGGATCACTGACGACTTCATCGAGAAGAGTGTCTCTGAGGCCCTGGCATCCTTCAACGTGAGGATGGGGATGGAAGACCCCAGGAAAAGCCTCAAAGAGTGGATTAGAACTCCTTGGTGGGGGGGTTTGATGGAGTATTAGGATTTTAAGTGTAGCTTAACTCTCATTCTTCTGTTCTTTGTGCTGCAATCCAAGGTGGGATAACAAGGCTGTGGATTTTTTTGGCTGCTCCATGACAGGGTTGTCACATCCACTAGTTTTCCTTAAACCAAGGATTTTCCAGGAATTTTAGTTTCTATCACTGGGAGCTTTGCATTCTCCCTTTCCTGCTCTGATTATCTCAGAGGGAATTCTTGCCATGCGGCTCATGGTGCTCTGTGGTCTCCATGGTGTTGTGAAAGCCTTAGAATCAGTGCAGGAAAAATCCTGTTCCCGGGGGATTCGCTGCTCCAGGAGAGCCAAATTTATCCTAAGGTGCTGCCCCAGATTTGTCCAGGGAGTGCCAGAGTGGCCCATGTCATTCGGTCGAGGCTGGATCACCTGGATAAGAGTGCGACAACTCAGCCTGTGCTGGCATCAGGCTCTCCTCGATCCCACTGGGATTTCTGGGAGTGGGAATGGTGCAGTGGGGATAAGAGCAGATCCGGTGGGAATGGCACCTCCTGTCTGGAATGTCTCTGCAGGGCAATCGAGAAGAGGCAGATAATCCCAACACTGGGATCGGGGCCTTCCGCTTCATGCTGGAGTCCAACAAGGGAAAATCTATGCTGGAGTTCCAGGTACTGTTTCCAGTTTTTGCAGATACTGTTCCTGATCTACCCAGGTCCCATTCCTGATTTGGTTAAAGGATATTTGGGTTGATCTCACAGCTGCATTTCTAGTCTTTTCTATGGAAAATGAACTCAGGGTTTCCTTCTGATTCTGGTCAGATTCAGGGTACTAGGTGCAAAGTCCTTGGAATTGGATTTCTCACTGTCACTGATGTTTCCAGGTGCTACCTTCAAATGTCCTAATTGCAGTAGTCCAGTTAATTAGTGGGATTCATCCTCTCCCTGAAAACAGGGAAGCAAGCGCTCTCACACGGAAAGATGGGAAAATGTTTCCCCCAAAGACACTTGGATTGTAGGACTGGGAGCCAGTGGCATCATGACACTCCCCCAAACCACAGGACTATTCTTGTACCCAATGGGAATGTGGCTGGGAAGAACATCTGGACAATGGGAAGTCTGAGCTGCCAAGGGAAGGTTCTGGAACATGGATCGAGATTAGAACAGCTGGGAATGGAGGGTCCTCTGGGCTTTAATCCAGCCTTTATGAATAAACAGATGGGAGTAGTGCCGGGGAAATCAGGTTTGGAACTCCCTGTCCATCCCAGGATGTTGTTCCAATAGTTCCTTGAGATTCCTGAATCCTTTTAATTTCAACTTGGCCTTGGGTAGGGACTGGGAATGATTCTGGAGCACACATCACTGGAGCTGGATTTTCATTAGAAGAGAAATCTGGGTGTGACTCTGCTCCAGGGTTACAATCCAGCTTTGGAATGTGTCTGTGTTTGGAATTCTGTACTTCTCCAACCCCTCTGCTGGCTCCTTTCCCTGGTATGGGAATGCTCCAGGGTGACAGACAAGTGGTGTTTATGTTCAGGGCCCTGTTCGCAGATGGAGACTCTGGGATGAAGATTCCCAGGTCCATCTGGGTTTGGGAAGCCTAACAGGTCCCAGTTTTTGAATAGAATTTGTGTGGCCTGGAGGGAGAAATCACTGGAAAACCTGGAATTGTACCTGGTGCTGATGCTGGTTCATCTTGGAGAAGAGAATCACAGAATTCTCTTGGCACAGGGAGTATTGGAGGCTCTGTCTCCCTTGTAGTCCAGATTAATCAGGGAATTTTGCCCCAGTGTCCTGGTGCTGGTGGTGCCTTTGGATGAATCCATGTCCAGGGAAGCTGCCCCATCTCTGGAAGTGCTCCAGGCCAAGTTAGAAGGGGCTCAGTAACACCCAGGCAGGTGTCCAGTGTACCCCCTGGGCTCCAGGTGATTCACAAGGTCCCTTCTGCCCTACCCCATGATTCCATGATCCTGGTCCTGTATGTGCTCTCACCATGCCTCCCGCTTGCCATCCCAGGAGCTGATGACGGTTTTCCAGCTGTTGCACTGGAACGGGAGCCTGAAGGCCATGCGGGAGCGCCAGTGCTCACGCCAGGTGAGTCCGGGGCTGCTCAGGGGCCACCTTGATCCTGCTGCTCCTTCCCACTCCTAAGCTTCACCCTGCATCCCATTCCCACCAGGAAGTCCTGGCTCACTATTCCCACCGTGCTCTGGACGATGACATCCGGAACCAGATGGCCCTGGACTGGGTGAACCGGGAGCAGAGCATTCCGGGTGCACTTTCCCGGGAGCTGGCGGCCACGGAGCGGGAGCTGGATGAGGCCCGGCTGGCTGGGAAGGAGCTGCGATTCCATAAGGAGAAGAAGGACATCCTGTTGCTGGCAGCTGGCCAGCTGGGCTCAGCACACTCCTCCGGCTGCTGAAGCCCAGGATCCCACCCTGGGATCCTTCCCAGTGCTCCCAACACCCTTTCCTGAGTCCCAGTCCGTTTGCACATTTGAAAGAAATTTAGGGAAAAAGCTCCTGAATAGATTTTAGCAGTTTCATCCTGTTTTTTAGAGCTGGTCCTCAGTCTCCTCATTCCCTAGAGAATTTCTTATTCCCTTGAGAACTCCTTATTCCCTGGAAATTCCTCATTCCCTATGGATTTTTTTCTGTCCCTTATTTTCAGGGTTCAAATCACAGGTTTTGTCCTCTCTGCACTCCTCAATTGTTACTGGAGCAGGTGGGATTCCATGGAATCCAGTGTTTCCTCTGGAAAAGCCTGTTGGATCTAATGCCTGGCACCCCCTTCCCCCTGTAGCAGAAAGGGATCAATTAAACCTCTTTGATAACCTCCTTAATTAAATCCAAATGAATGCCAACAAATGCAATATCCAAAGAGATTGAAAAGTGCAGTTTGGAATTAAACCTGGGATCAGCCTGCAGCATTCCAGCCCCAAGCACAGCAGGATCTGCAGCCCCCCCTGGAATTACCCCGTCTATAGCCCAACATTAGCATTGGCCTTTTCATGGAAGCTTGGAAAAGTGGAGTTTGTGAATGAGGCAGGGATTTTCACTAATTGTTCCATATCTCTTGTATACATCTCCATATGGAATTCAGACTATATTTAGCTTTAAAAACCCCTTTTATGACATGGAATTGTTCAAACAGCTCTAAGTTCACCCAAGAAAATGTCAGTGTATCCATGGAAATTTCAATCTTACTCCCCTTTTCCCCAGCAGACTGGAAATACAACTAAATTCCAAGCCAGAATTCCTTCTTTCACCCCAGTTTAGAGCTTTTCCCACTTCTTATCATCCTCTTAAACCCTTTGGATTCCACTATTCCCACCCTCCTTCTTCCCTCTACCTGACCACAGGATATTCCAGCAATAATAATTGTTTTAAGATAAAATTGGAACAATTCCATTATCTGTAGGTACCCCATTTTTATATCCGCATCCTAATGAGCCTATTTTGGGGTTTTGTATATTTTTTATACTTTCTATAACCTATTAACGTTTGATGTCGCCGGAAATGGGATTTAAAAGGGATGGG